CCGTATTGACCTCGCTATCGCTCGGTCAATACGGCAAGGCCTCAGTTTGAGATTTTCCCGTAACGACCTCACTCTCGGTTATTAAGTAGTTAGTAATTACATCTTATAACAGATTATTCATAAATTAGCATCAGAGAAAAAGGAAATTATAGTATGACCTAATGGATTAATTTTTCTGCAATTTCTTTTTCTCAGCAATGACAAAATGATGTGATGATTTCATGCAAACAGTAATTCATTGAATTAACTCATTTTGTTTGAGTTTTGGACAGGCAAAGGTTAAAACAGATTGGGAAAATGCTAAATACAAGTTAAAGTACACATTTGGTTACCACAGGCACATTTACTCCCCTTAAAAATTGTCATTATTTCCGTGTTTTATTATTTTAAGACGGTTGGATTTCTAGCACTGTATTGATAACAATTTATAATCCCCTAATCATGAAACAATGTTAAAAAATAATAAACCAGAAAGCAATTCAAGAGCTTTCAGTGTTAGATGTAGCAGGAACCTGGACCTTTGGATCCAAATTCTTTGTTTTGTTTGGATCCTAATTTTTTATTTCTAAAAATTACTAGTACTTTTACAACCTTAATAGTTTTGAAGATCTAAACATTGAAAACACAGTTCACTGTCTATTGTGCATGTAGCTTTATCCTGATGTTTGTTTTTAAAATGTGTCATTCTATTCCAGTCAAAAAAGGGAAAATAACAATTGTGGCAAGGCCCAAGGAGTTCCTCTCTCACTTTGACTCAGTGCAGATGCTTTCCTTGCCTTAACCTTAGATAAAAAGAAAAATCTTGCACCAGAGAAACCCAGAGAAAGATAGAAAGAAACAGCGGTGCTTCCGTCTTCTTAGAAGTTTAAATTCAAGTGCAAATTAACTTCCTGTGATTGGATTTATATTATTAGCTAAAAAAATTAAATTAGAATGTTTGTCCAACCTTCTGTCCCCACGACTTGAATTGTCCAGTCGGGGGCCCCTAGGACCACAAGAAGAGGACAAATTTTGTTCACAAAACAGAAATGTTTTCAAAACTAAGGAAAATATTTTGCTAAATAAACAGTTAAAAGTAGTGTCTATGTTAGAGAAATAAAGTGTTGTTGTGCAAATCCATTTGTTTTTTGGTGCATTATGTACAGTAAAACAGTTCCGCTGTTAGTATAAAATTTCAGATATAGAGAAACAGAAGATTTTACCAATAACAGTTTCAAAGCATCAAAACAAAAACAAATTGGCATTTCTCCAAAGAAGCAGCTGTAAATGTACATAAAAGACAGCTCATGCATTATGCTTTTAAACTAAACTTATATTGCTCTGAAAGAATAGCAAAGGAAACAGCTCCATAGACAGACTAATTTGAAAAACACAACTTGTATATAAGATTCAAAGCTCAATACAAACAAAACATTGGCAGAAAAATGAATGGGATTTAAAACCTTGCACAAGATGAATAAGCTAAACATGAATATTCAAAAAGTTTAAAGGTACAAACTTCAAACTTCAAACATCCGTGACAAACTTGTTAGCTGGTAAACCAGTTTTGAACTTTTGAAGGGATAAGCCGCCAGGAACTGACGTGAAAACATTATATTTATTGCAAAAGATGATTCAAAATAACAAGGACTTACGAGCGATCGCTGCCACTTCTTCTTTCGAATTCTCGCTTCCTGCCGAAGCCACCACCACCACCACCGCCGCCGCCGCCGCCACCACCACCACGCGGACCAAATCCTCCACGGCCTCTTCCACCACCACCACCTCGGCCTCCACGGCCTCCGCCTCTTCCCCTGTCGAAGCCACCTCTCTCCCTATCGGCTCCCTCCTTATCTGGGGAGTCAGGATCCCCTTGGGAACCTTCTCTTCTGCGATTAAATCCACCGCCGAATCCACCACCTCGCCTTTCCCTTGGAGCGTTCTCATCTCGGTCTCTTCTCTCGCTTGGACCGTTTGCTAAACGAGTATTTTTCTCGTTTTCTCTTCTGACATCGCTTTTACCGCGACCACCACGTCTGCTATCTGTTCTCTCTGCAAAAGGAAACAATTTTTTTTTTCAAGAGAACGGTTCCTGAAATCGACGAAATGGAAAGCCAGTACGTTAGAGTTATTTATGGAGGACAACCTACCCAAGCCTCACATGACAACACGTGCTGCAAACTGCCCGTATTTTCCGCTTCGGAATTACTGTTGTTGTCTAATGGCTGATCAAAAACGCTACGCGAGATGTAAGTGATGCTAAAAACGATTTTGGATTCACATTCACTTGGCTCAAACAAATTTCGCAATTTACGTTCCACGAGCGCGCTGCGTGAAAATTGTAAACTTATTTTCATCGCCTTGGAAGAAAACAAATGTTGTGGCAACCACTACAGAACAAGGCTTTATCAAGTACAAAACGTCTTTGCCAAAGTTGAACATTCTACGCAAGTGATTGGAAACAAAGGAAAGAAAGAAAATGGGACTGCAAAGTTGAAAAACACAGAAGAGAGACGTTCACATGTGATCTGACAAGACGATGGCGTCAGAGTACAACTTGTACATTCGACGGTACATATATAAGCTTAAACTTTTGATACAAACCTTCCCTCTTCGATTCCTCGTTTACATTGTCCTTCCTGCTAACGGCTGGTTTCGTTTCCTTGACGGGCTGTTTAACAGCTTTTTTGTCTTGTTTCTTGGCCTTGTCTTTCTTGGCCGACTCCTCCTTTTTCTCCTGCTTTTGCAGAGTTTCTTCAGGATCTTCCTCATCTAAATTTAACGCACCGAAGCGATTATTCACTCCTATGCTGTATTCCACCTCCATTGTGGATGGATGCGATGGAAAAAGCACAGATGATGGAAGATTGTGCTGCAAACACCACTCTCCTTGGAACTCAGCAGATTTTCAATCCCCGAAAAGCTACGCTAAACGCGCGATGCATGCTTGGAGGGAACTTGGCGGGTGACGATCGCATGGAATCATGGGTCAAAGTTTAACGAGAAAACTACTTTTGCGAGACAAACGAAATCTCTTCCAGTTTCTATTTCTTCCACTTTCTTTCGTATTTTTCGTCGGTTTGGTTTGCAATCCGAAATATCTGGCAAATGCGGAATCGTTTAATTTTTAATTTTTTAAAACAGTTAATTTGTTTTTATCGCATTTCTGTTTTCTTTTCCCTGTCACGATTATCCTATGGTTGGTCGGAGGATTGTTCCCAGCCGGAGAGGGAAGTGAAAATACATATATCTTATTAGATGTTTTGGTGTGTAGTATCGCTGTATATTTTACGAGCTGTGCCGTATTTTGACGAGACCGAAGGGCGAGTCAAAATACAAACAACGACTAACAATATACAGCGATACTACACACAAAAAACATCTAATAAGAGATTTATTATGCAACTGCTGTAGTCAATAACTTTATCAATGAAAGAGGGAGAGTGTGACAGTTTTGCGTGCGCGCGCCGACCTGTACGGCAAACAGATTTTCGAATGTACAAATACGACAAACAGGTTTTCTAATGTACAATATCGCTGTATATTTGTCCTGTCATTTGGACGGTATTCGCTGCAGTGGGATAATAATTCCTTTTATAACCTGCCTAGCCAAGGAAGGTGCGGTTTTAGCGCGGTATGTTCTGCAAGTGTGCATCGAATTTGTTAGGGAAAATCACGTGTTTTGATTTGCGCCTCACACCCCAAAACAATTAGGGGGCAGTCTTTTCGAAAAGGTCGTAATGCCCGACCCGAAAACTTACATCTGAGACGCGCGCTTTTTTCAAGCAGCGAGAGGGATCGATGGATGGAGAGTACAGCGTTTCCAAACAAGACTCCATTGAAAGATAGGGGGAGGGTTGAGAAAATAGTCCGTAAGAGGAGCCTGTCCGTAACCACTAACAAACCAAAAATATTTCTTTCCAGCCCGTTCCCCTTGACCAACGGTCCGAAAACGAGAGCTCTGGGAGCAACCTTTTCAGGCATGCGCCATAGATGCAGACTGCGCAGTGAAACCCGATGGACAGAATCACCAGAATTCGGTTATTTCAAAATGGTTGATCCCAGAGCTCTCGTTTTCCGACCGCTGGTCAAGGAGAACGAAGACTCTGGGAACGAGATTGTGTAAACGACGAATTTTTCAACTTTATGTTTCTTTATATAATTACCACGTGAGTACAGCCACTCAAAATGCCTTATAAATGACAAGCAAATAGGGACTCTACATAATTCGGCAGTTATCTTTGTTGCCGATAACTATGGCAGATAGTCACTCGGGTCGTCATGCAACGACCCAGAACGAGACCATGATAGTCACATGGCGCTAAAAAACAGAACAAAACAAAACAAAAATTGCTATGGTAGATAGTCACTCGGGTCGTCACGCAACGACCCTAAACGAGACTATGATAGTTACGCAGCGCTCAAGCTCCCCTTACCCACCCCCTAAAAGGGAAAACTCAACAAAGAAAACAAGAAAACATCGCGAATAAGACTTCGTTTAATTGAGTTTGCCTTTTAATTTTTTCGTTCATAAGCAAGAATGATCCTGACTTAGATCCAGGGCAGCATTTAAAAATATATCTATGCATTCGCCACTATAGTAACAATTCCGCCAAAGACGATCTCAAGTTCAGTAATATATACACAGCGACATGACACAAAACTAAATTTCCATTCGAAGATCTTTGTATCCAACAGCACAAAACTTTCCAGATCGAACTACAGAACTTAATGTACCAGTACAAAAATATATCTATATTTAGATGTTTCCTTGACACAGATACACAAATATAATTCTTACGTTAAAAAACTGTGGTCTCTTTTACAGGAAATACAAGTAAGGTAAATGTCAATAGTCCTAGTATTATGCCAAATGTGTTACTGATTGATGGGTGTACAATGTTTAAAAGAATTCAAAGTAGATGACGAAATGTAAATCGCCATTGTTTTCCGTTATCAGGGTACTTCATCAAAAAGAATAAATATAGGATTGATGCTAACCAGTAAAAGACGCTGTACTATTTATGAAAGCTTCCTTAAAAAGCTTCCTTAAAATGATAATCTCACAACACACACTTCTTCCACAAACGGTACTAATTCAACCAAGGTTTCGAGTCGCAAATATGCACAAACGTTTTTAACAACTTCTGATATTGTCATATAGTCACATACCCACTTGTCACCAAATCACTAAGTTAAACCCACTTCTATGATCATATAAAACCACTCTCAGACGATTCTGTGCTTTCAACAATTCTTCCTTTCCTTTGCCGAAGGACGCGAGACGTATTTGACTTCTATTAAATTACTAGGTATTTCATTAAATATAGTTTATTGTCCACAATTTCTACATCACTTGCTACCCGACACACACGCCGACAAAGTATCGATTACACAAACTGGGGTTCACGATCCTCCTCGTCACCGTCTTCGGGAAACGGAGAACGAACATTTGTCCGACTCGACCTCGGACTAGTATTTGGGCTTCTTCGTGGTCGCTCCGATCTATGCTTGTCATCAAAGTCTTCGGTATCGAGTGGAATATCTATTTCTCTTGGTGACAAAGTTCCCACGTCGTGTAAGTCTAGTTTAAGAGAATCGCCTCGTTGCCGATCAGGTTTTAAAGAATCCATCGAGTCCAAACGAAGTCTGTCGAGAATCAAACTTTGTGGACGCTCGGTATTTTCCGACTTATCTTTTTTATTCCGTCGTCGCAATTCGTCGTGCTTTTCATAGTCAGAAGATTTCGTTTTTTCAAGTTTGGTTTGCAGCTGATTTCCAGCAACTGCCTCATTTCTTCCATCTTCCCCGTCAATCAACCGTTTCCTTGGCAACTTAGGACTACCGCTGGCCGAGCCAGATCCACTTCCGGAATCAGTCATTGTTTTTTTCGTTCCCATGTCACTGACGCGCTTGTACATCCCACGCTCTCTCTGCTCAAACAGTTGTTTCCGAGAAGCCACCGAGTTCGGGTTGAATAACTCCGAGTTTTTCCGATTGGAGTCGACGCTGGACGAGCGATTTCGTTCGTATTGCTGAAGGCGATCTTTAACCGACACCCTTGTAGGGTAAGCCGATCGGGTCTTCGGTTTGGAATCGGATTTTTTTTCATCGACAACAGCATCGACTTCCCTCTGTTCGGCAGCGACTTCAACTGGACTTTCAACTCTATCCGGATTTTTAGAGTCAGTCGACGCATGCTCAGTAGAGCAGTTTGGAGTTGAAGGCCTACGCTCCTGCAAAGCTGTCATGACAGGGATAATAAGCTCACGTGATCCCGCCTCCACAGGAATCTCGTGAACGGACGGTGTCTCATCAGCTGCTGATGTTATAGAGACGTCAAAATCTTTTTTCTCGATGGAAGGAGATCGAGCAGGTTTTTCCGCCACAGGGGGCGGTAGTACTCTGGTTGGCGAAGCTAATTCTTTTTCTTTTATTTTCTCCTTAGTAGGGGATGGTAAAGGACTGACTACATCCCCCTGAGGCACGGGCACCTCGTTTGTGTCAATACTAATAGTAGTTGTTGGTTCGCTAAGAACAGAAGTTTGATGATCTCCTTCAGTCACGCTATCCTTTTCAAGCTCGTCACTCTTAGTGCTTGTTACAGTGTTGGAAGAAGAACTAGCAATATCGGAAATCGTTATGAAGGATACCTCCTCATCGATGGCATACGGGTCTCTATTAAGATTTGTGTCACTAGATGACGGTTTCATTCCTCCTATTGGACAGAATCCAGTGTTAATATCATCAACTCGCTGCACTCGACCAGGAAGATCGGAATTTCTTTTCAATAAACCCAAAGTTCGCGGACGAGGCTGCATCCGAGTTCGTAAATCGGACTGATCATCAAACAGTGTCGTCTCCTTGTCGGAGGGTCCGAAGCCTCCCGAGGTGTTAATATCGGAGAGATCGGGTAACAACGAATCGGTGTCGGGAAAATCCGAAGTAAAGCTAGGCGCAAAGGAGTACAACGAAGAACTCGGAGAAATAATCGAGTAGGAGCCGTCGTGAGGCAAGTTGATTTTATCGTCATCAGCCAAGTTTTCGTTGGATGATCGTGGAGAGTTAATTCGCCTTGGTGCTCCAAAATGAGAAGAATCAAGATCGTCATCTGGAGTGCGAGATCCACTGGTTCCTAAAACAACACAAAGGACAGATGTTATCTACAGCTGTTCCCACAAAAGCGCACATGACAATGCCTTCTAACGTCATGCTTTGCGTATCTTAAAAAGTTTAGCCTAAATCACCTTAGAGAATCTCGAGCTCATAATCAGATAACTATATCTAAGGCCGCGAGTTCACGAGTTACCCTTCTGATTTTGCCCACATTTGCCGACATACTCGACGCCGCAGTTGACCGTTTCGTAAAGGGTCGATGCCACTTTCGCGACACTTTGAACTTTTTTTAACTATTAACGAATTTTTCTCCGCTAAATTAAAGAAAAAAGAAAATTTTTAAGTAACCACTCAGTATCGAACCCAGAACCTCTGTTGCCTAACATCCCTCTTATACCACTACACTGTACCAGGTTGATCCGCCAAATCGCTCCAAAATTTAATTAGAAAACGTGACTTTCTTAAATATTAATGTTAGAGTTGCCCAAACCATCAAATAAAAGCTAACCGCAAGCAAACCAGTGTGAAATTAAGCATTTGGTGAGTGCGTTTTACTCCATCAACAAATTATAACTAGTTTCAACCTTGTCCAGGCCTAAACTAAAACAGACATGGCATCGTCCATTCTGACAGGCTCGGTTACCAATGATGGCATCGACCGTTAAATTAACAAATTGACGTCAGTTTTCCATGCGTCTGTCCTGTTATTGATTATGAATTTCGTCATAACATTGTCAAAGTAGCTGTGGATCCACGAGGCGATAGCCGAGTGGATCGCAGACTACTTTGACAATGTTATGACGAAATTCARTGTCAATAACAGGACAGACGCATGAAAAATTGACGTCAATTTGTTAATTACGATAACAAATTGTCAAATTGTCCGCTCTCGCTCGTTGACGCATCGCATAAATTATAAATTCATGTGTCTGTCGGCTTATTGACAATGAAAATTAGCCAATGAGTGCGCGAGAATTTCTACAGTTATCGTAAAAAAATGGCATCGACCGTTAACGAAACGGATATCAGCCTCGCCGCCTGACCTTGTGTTGTATCATCCTCGTACTCATCCTCCATATCGCTATCATCACGTGGGACAACAGGTCTTTCATGAGGCGACTCTGGCAACAAAAACTCTGGAATGCTGTAATGAGAGCGATCACTTTGCTGAAAACGGAAAAGAAAGAAAAGTGTATAAATACACTTATGTCACTGGCATTATCTTTGTCCTAGGCTCGATTACCAGCCGCTGATCGAGAAAGGAGCCCGCGCTCCTCCTCCGAACTCACGGGTCTCTTCTCGGGGAGGAAAGTAGACTGTGCTCGAGTGAGCGGCAGAAATCGAGCCTATCATTGCCCTTACAATTTATCATCAAACAGGTCCGCAATGACCTCGTGCCTACTTCCACAAGGGTGTGGAGACTTTACCTTCTACGTAGACGTTCTTATTTCTCGTCACGCACTCCGCGTGACTTGCATGACGAGTCCAAACATCGCCTGCCAAGGAGGCCAAGAGACATATGAAAAGTCACGTTCGCACACCACCCCGGAAGTCTTTTAAAAACCTGACTGGACTGGACAGACTGAGATGTGATGACTTACCCCGTCACTTCTGCTGTTTGACTTTGCAAGCAGTTCAAAGAATTCTGATCCAAAACCAAGACTGCTTTTCCTACACAGGAAAACAAAATCAGTAATGAGAGTAGGTCAACAAACTGTCAACTTTGAAGGCTACCAAAATTTAGACTATGGATTCCAGGGGCGTTTTGCTGGAAAGAGGGCACTACCTCAAGTTAATTCAACGACGTCAAGATGACTTGGAAACGTCTTTTTCTAGGGTTTGTTTTCATTTAACTTAAACAAGCGCCATTCTTGTGCTGTCTAAAGTTCGAGTCAAAGTTCATTTTGACAATGGAAGGCACATTTTTGGCAACCTTCGAGAGCTTCAAGAAAAGGCTGCGAGAGATCCACTTCCACTTTTTACTTTGTTGTCATTGTTTTTCTTGTACTGAATAGTGTTTCACCTTATAGCTACTCGTTTGTATCATTTCTAAGAGAGAACAGGAAAGACCTTCACTGCGGTTGTTGCGGAAAAAGCCAACCAGGAGCAAAAACATTATACTGGTTGTAGCCAGTCTTTTCTCTTAGGATCAGAGGAGTATTTTTTCGCGAAAGCGAACGCATAAGAGCAGTGTGGACGAAAAAGGGTTGGGGGAGTGCCGCACCAATGCCTCGTCCCAATCCCTTCTAGTCTGAAATGTCTTGCCTCATAATCCCAGCCTAATTTCGGGAGAAAACAGAGTGCTAGTGGTCTCCAGATACAAAGGAAAGGATAAAACAAAACACAAAAACTTACGTCGACGGGGAAGGTGACTTTGGTCTATTGTCCGGTGGTCGAGACACGGTTATACTCCTAAAACAAAACGTAACATTCAGTGCAATGAAATTAGTATAGTATTACATGGATATATACCTCACAAGGAAAACAGATTGCGTTACGTACGACCGTTACGCATGCATTCTACTTACGCTGGTGAGCTTGAGCTGCGAGGGACTGGAGAAAACTCCACGGATGGCTGTGAGCTGTTTGTGTCTGGAGTGTTGATCAGGCTACACGTATGTAAAACGCATGAATCATTATCACAAATTAACACCAGTTGAAGACACATAGAGCAGTTTTCAATTGAGTGTTGTAAAACCAAAACCAACGTTATCCCTCTAACAAATCACAAAAGACCGACAATCCAGTGAACCAATCAAAACTTGAAGTAAATACATGTAGCCAACGCGAAGCGCGGGAAAACCTGCACGAGCGAGTCACGGTTGGTTTTGGTTTGACTTCTGATTGGCTGAAAAAGTGGCGTGAGTTTTTTTAAGCCAATCATGTAGCGTAGTAATGTACAACAATAACTTTCGACACTCAAAGTGAAAACCGCTCTTACACCAACAAATATCACAAATTCACACAGAATTCCGATTGTTATTTTCGGCAGCCTGAAACAGACTGAACAAAACCTGGCAGTCACGTGAAACATAACATTAAACCTTCCCCTCCCTACAGACTTGAAGTTATAGAATTTTTACATCCTCTACTGTCAGACAACCCACTCTCATCTTAACATTGTCCACGCTAAAGTCTTTCTATCTGCTAAAAGATTTTCTGACTCTTAGCGGGTTTATATGTTTGATCAGTAAATGTAGATTTACCAAGAGAGATAAAAAATATCAATTCTCTTGACTGATTGCTATCCATTTCTTTTAATTTGAGTTCTGACAATGTCGTGTTACGTTAAAACAACAACAACCTCTTAATTCTCGTAGTCAAACTGCTTAGTGATAAACCCAAGAACTTCGTAAATGAAAGCAGTGAGGCTGTTGTATTTGCACCCAAGTCTGTAACAAGCAGTCAATAACTAATGATATCTCACCTCGCCTCATCCTCAGCTTCATAACTCTCGTCCGGATTATTTCCTAGCGAGACAAAAACACGAAATTCTAAACAAAAGAACTCTAAGGATGGTAGAAAACACGACGTCTACAATGCACCAAACAGTACTTTTAAATGTCCCGCCCATTTTCGTACTCATATAGCGATTCTCGGACACTACGGGTACCGGGAAAGTAAACTTTGGTGTCCGGTCTACAACAGGGGGCAGAACATACCTTAAAAAGGTCTGGAATGGGGTAGAAGTTTAAAGGTCCCAGCAGCCGCCCTCTCCCTCCCCGTCCCCTTCCTCCCAAACCCAAGAATTCACGAAGTGACCAGAACACTACACCAACGGGACTGTCTCCGAACCCGACCACTAAAGCTACAAGTTTACAAGACATCGAGGTATTACCAGCTGATCTAATACTTTGGATGGCTACCAGACTGCCTTCTCTTTCACGCGGCTTTGGAGGAGTAAATTTCTGCCAAAACAAGAGAAATGGCTCGTAAAGACTGGAGTAAAAACATGTTAATTGTCTTGACACAAACCCGCTTCTCAAGCACACTTCAGGCTCGTCACGCAATCTATCTTCCGGCTCGGGAGAGATTTCGTGACAATCCCCTTTAAAGTGCGTTGTGTGACACTCACCTCTACTGGTGTCTCTCGTGACAATGGCTCGTCTGCTTCTGGAAGTTCAAAAACCTTAAAAGAAAAAGAAACGGAACATTGTCGCATCCGGGAGAAAGAGATTTCGCTATCAACAAAAATTCCCTCGAAGTATTCGAAGCATCTCCCCTTCGTATTAACCAATAAGCTCGCTGCTAGACGCAAGATAAATCAACAAGAGGGAGAAGGTGAAATAAAACATGTACTGCCCTTCATTTCTTCTACTCGATTTCCCTGCCACTCGTTTCTATTTCTTTCATTAAATGCTTAAGGCTTAAGGCTTACGGCTTTTTTTCTAAGCTTAAGGCGGCTGAATGGAGTTCTCCTGGATTATGGTAGTTTATGGTAGTTTAGGAGTTTCTCGAGGCTAAAGAATGTTTAAGGTAGTTCTCCACTGTTTGACTACTGTAAGTAACCGGTAAGACCGTCGAAATGCAATCATGTTTTCAGCTAGCAGTTAGCATTAGTATCTTTTTTGTTTCTTACCTCGGGGCTAGCAATCAACAGTTCAACCAAGCGAGTCTGGTGAGGCATATCCACAAGTGAAGACAAAGTGGACGCTGCTTCATTTTCGCTGCAGAATAACAATGCAGTGTAGACTTTTGAAACAAAAACAGTAGTAAAACAAAACAAAACTTTTGGATGTCCGTCGCAGTTTTCACGCTTCCCAATAAAAATGGCCGGTATCCATTTATTTAACAATTATTCCACAAGTGCGCGTCGGATATGTAAACAATAGACCATTTGGCGCGGAAATATACTTGGTATAATAGCTCATAACCCATGATGGCTAAGCCAATGAAAACTCTCGAATTGCATTATCCAATGATCCAGTTTTTAATTAAACACGAAAACACACCCCTCCTTCCCCACCCTGACAACTTTTCTACCAAAAATCCTTAAGAAAGAATATTACCCCGGTGATTACTATCGTAACTGTAGGGTATTTTACCTGGGTCTCAGTAGTGTCGGACCGAACACAATCGCCAGATTACTCCCAGGCATAGCATTCGACTCATCGTGCTCGGAAACTCGCCTCAGATGCATTATCACACGCGCCGCCGTCACTCGGTTTGCTGTCGGAAGCTGCATTACAACTTCCCGAAGCTTGCCGATAAGCTTGTCGTATTCTTCTCCGATATCTTCGTTTTCGGAAGCATCCTTGCACGTCGTGGAGTTGTTAATAAGAGCGAAGCTCTCCTGTAGGGAAATTAATCGAAGCAATCAGTTATGAACAATTTTAGGAAAAAAATTGAAATTATAAAACAGATATTATGAGTCTTACCCTAGCTATTCTGATAAACTCCGGATATAACTTGACAGTAAGAAGCGACTCCGGCAGCTGAAAACAACAAACACACTGTTGGAGAAATTTCCGTATGTGTTACTGTAACAAGCTCTTGAGGCGTGAGTGAGCCGCGCGCGAAGCCCTATCCCGCCAAACGCAAATCACGCTCCTCGTCTGTCCCGAGAATTAAATGAAACACGCCAGCCGGCAATGACAATGAGGAAGGATAGGATAGATTTTGCTTCTCACCTGTCTGAGGTACAGTTTAAGAACGGCAGCAATGACATGCGGTGGCGTGTCGGACAGATCTGCTTGGTATTCACCATTTTCAAATGACTGCGGAAGATAAAACACAGAACGTTTTTAAAATTAAGTCTGACTTGTTCAATCTATAGAACTCTCTAACAACTGGGGGGATACACGTGCAGTATATTTGTCTACACCTCTTTCCAATCCTGCATTAATGTTTAAAACCTTTTGGTCAATATAAAAACTCTTCATACTGATGAACACATTTCTTTTGATGTTAGGCATGAGAATTCAGCAGCACATCAAGAGGATATCTACAAGTAGATCATTCTCTATTTTCTTGCCAATACAGGGTAAACTTGTCACAAGGTATGTTCTCTGGTTCATTTTGCCCCTCTTTCCATAAACCCCAAACACATCGTTAGTCACTTTTACGAGTGTTCAACCAATATTTAGTACAGAACCAAATATTTTTCAAATATTACCTGACATAATTTTTCCACTCTGGATTTGACTCCAGACACTCGGTAGATTCCCTGAAAAATAAAACGCAAAACAATCTCAATTGGTGATGAGAGCTACAAGTAACTCAAATATAACACAAAGAAACAAAAGATAAATGCAACAGAAGGACCACAACAATCTCGCAAAAACATATCATATTGTGTTATGGAAACTTACTTTGACGTCAAGTCCTGCAAAGTAAGCAAAAAATTATGAGCAACTTAAATACACGTCATTAATTACTTCAAAATATGCAACTAATTAATTTCTCGTGAGTTGAGACTTTTTCAGATTTCAACTTCATTATTCTTTAAGATGAGATAAAATTATCAGAATCTTGAAGAAAATCTCGTAATAATGCCCTTAAATTTAGCAGATGACCCGCCCTGATCACTGTTGTTTACAGTGATAACGTAATTTGTTCAATGAGTTAGGGCCTCCTTGTCTACATGGGAAAAAGGTGACTCTGGTTGAAAGTGTGCGCATGCATGCCTTCAAGTTCAACAACCGTTTGTGAACATGCGTAAAGAGAGAAACCGCTACAACTAATGCTGGCTCACTTTCCAATTTCTCCCAGAGGCCTCGACTTCTTGGTGTTAATCAAAAGAACCGCGGCCTCTGAATGATAGATTGTACTATCTTCTGCCAACCCCCAGAGTGAGCCTAAGTTTCCAGCAAGTGATCCATCACTCTCATGTAAACAGGTCTCTTCTACATGAATTTATATTGAAATGTATGAAAAGTTCTCTTGTAACCCTCCCACCGGGGACAACGTTACTCCATGTCAACACGCCCTTAAGCTTACACAGCTTTAAGTTCATACCTCGTTTGTCAATTTCGTCAATACAAGATGAGATGATGTGTGGAATGTTCTCCTCTTCAGTGTTCGAGTCTTGAAGATGTCGATAAAAATCTACTCCAAACGTTGTCATACGCCGCTGAACCTTCTGTAAATACAAAAATTTAACAACGATTTACACAGTTCTTCCCAACAAATGACGATTAGAAAAAGGAATTCCTGAATTTCCACTTCTCAGCAACACTTTGCCACGTAATATAACTTCAACGAATTTCAGGGAAGGAGCGCGTGCTCCTTTCCCGAACAGCGGCTGCGCAAATTACACCAAAGTTTTTATGAGTTTACAGGCATGTCACGCTGTTGTCATGCGTTACTAGCAACTACTACGTCAATAATAACACTCTTGTTTGTTTAGGTATCCTCATTTTGCTCGTCACGCAATACTTCGCCTCCAAATAATGCCTGGCTATCCTTAAGTAGAAATAGTACGTGAAAAGCCCAACTAACGTCTGTTGTTTCGTCACGCAAAGTCTCTGACACTAACAACATCTGTGTGACAACCATGTTAGCTGTTCTATAAATACTCAAATAATCTACATGGTTCTTACATTGTATGTTCCACATTTGATATTGAGCCGTCCTAAGCATTTCTTGTGACATGTCAGACCACACACTTCACACTCTGCGCCGTTGAAGTACACATAACTGTCACATTCACGACACTTGGAAGCGGAGCGGAGTTTCTTCAACGTGTGCGTCTGCGCTGATGATGACAAGCTGGTGTTCTGGAAGGGGCCGGCTGATGAGCGATTCTTGGGAGGGCGCTTTCTCCTAGAGGCTGTGTTCACAGGACCTTGGAGAAGTAAAAATAGAAACAAGGTCAGCTTTAGAAGAGGAAGTGCGAGCAGAGGAATGGGAGAAAGGATCGAAAGACAAGGACAAGAACGAAAGGACAGGGAGGGGAAGGAAAGGTAAGGGAAGGTAAGGGAAGAAAAACATAGCATCGCATAGCAAATCAGGGAAAACTAAAGGAAAGCAAAGCAAATTAAGGACAGTAAAGCAAAGCATAGTATGGCATAGCATAGTGCAGCGAAGAATAGCATACCATAGCATTGCATAGACCAGCACAGCATAGCAACACAGGGAAAAGTAAAGTTAGGAAAGGGAAGGAAAGAAAAAGAAAGCAAAGGAAAGAGAATGTAAGCAAAGAGAGGGGAAGAAATGAGAGGAAAAGACATTCTCTTAGACAGCCATTGATTACTTGGAGGAATTTTTTCACAGGTAGAGTTCTTACTGTTTTGCAGATAACAAACCTAGTTAGTCTTGGAGATGAAGAAATTGAAAATTTTGTGTTTTTCTGTAAACGTAAAGAAGATCGTACATTAATGTAAACAGTACAATCTCACCATTTCTACTCCTCCCGTCATCTTTGTTTTCTCCGTCATCAGACGACACCAACTCAAGGGACTGTGCCCGCTGGATGTTCGCTTGTTTACGGGATGACGTGGGACTGTTTGAGGGTGATCCCGGGAGCGATCGACTTGTTGTGCTCTCGGCATCACTGTGATGTTCCTTAAGGTGGATCCACGCATTCATGGGTTGTTGTGAGCTGTTTACATTCTGTGTAGAGTGTATCTGAAGACTCTTATGACGGCGAGAGTTGAATGGAGACATCCGGGCATTTTCCTCCAAGGTTTGACTGTGCCGTGTGTCAAATATGGAGTTGTGACGTGTCGGAGTCTGCTGTCCTTTATCAGAGCTGGAATGGTTCAAAAAACAATACACGAGTCCAATCGCCAGGTTAAAATATATTTTACAGGAAAAGTTGAACAATAAAGAAAGGCTTTTTGAATAATTTTCGGTTTTTAATTTTTTCAAAATGTTTTAGCTCGTATAAATTTAAATTTTAAATTATTAAATTTCTATGGTTTCTTTTCATGATAATTTTCAGAATGCTAGCAGCTGCTCAGATCCTCGTGTTGTGGAATCCTTTTGGCGTGTCACAAACCAAATAATAAAATCACTACGGGCAATCAAATGGTCACGAGTGAAATAAGGAAATAATTTCACGCGCGTTTTGTCAACATTCTTAGAATTTAAGGCGGGAAAAATTATTTAAATTTTGACAAAATGCAGGTGGAATTATTTCTTAATTTCACGAGTATACTATATGATTACCTTTTAATAGCATGGGTGACAAATTACGCTTACAATCCTGGGTTTTTTAACTTGTTTATTGTATCGTGAAATTTCGCGCCAAAAGTTGCCATGGCAATTTTGTGATTTCACGTGTGAAATTATAAATTAACGCTGAAATTTCGGGCCAAAATTAAGGAGTAATTTGTCACCCATGACAATATTAATAATGTAAATTTAAATCGCGCTATTAAAATTTAAATTGTACAAATAGCTGGAAAATGGTTTTCCATCAAATCAACTACCTAACCTATCCACCAAAAATGGTCAAACCAAAACTAAAAGAAACCATACTTTTTGGGCAACGCGAGCGCCAGCCAGAAATTTTTCAGTTTTTGAAAGCCAAAATCTCCTTCAACATTACACCCAAAGCACTTTTACAAGCACCTTAACTGCTTGGCGTCAAATGATATCTAACACCACCATGATGCCTTCTGCACGCAAACTCGTATGCTAATGAGCCAAAAGTAAACAGTGACGTTTGCAAAGATCTCCATATGGCATGGCATGGTAAAACCTGGTTCACACTTGTGAGATAAGCACAAACGTAAGCACAAAAAAACGCTAGAGTGTGCACCACGGTGAACTGAGCACAAGCACAATCATAGGAAAAAGAAACTTGCATATTCCTTTTTCTTGTGCTTGCGCTTATGCTTATTTCGCCAGTGTTATGCTTATTTCACAAGTGGTGCTGAACTAGTGTGAAATAAGTACTTGTAACTACTAAGCATAAGAGCAAGAATTCAGCCAATCGCCATCTTGTTGCTAAGCGACGTAACGCGCGCTGCGCATGCGCATGTCACTAGTGTGAACACTTTAGTGCTTTTGTTTGCGCTTACGCTTATCTCAAAATTGTGAACCGGGTTTTAGAGCGTCAGGGAAGAAGGCTCACAAGACTCTTTCGTGTTCGTTAGAAGGTTCCAGATAGTGTATCATAATAATTATTGATTAGTTAGTTAATATTAAGTATTAATAACAATTAACAATACGTACAATCCCACAGTGTAAGGTTCAAAATAAAACACTTGTTCAACAGCTTTGGGGGAGTTGGCTTGTTGAAGACGAACGAATTCAGCAAACTGGTTTCCAGGCTCGTAATTCCTACTGCTCTCCGCGAGAGTCTGGAACTGAACAGGAGCGGGCGAGGCAAGCGCGTTCATCATTTGGAAATAGTTACACGTGACCTGAGAAGAGAATAAACAATAACTGAGTATATTACAGGAATATGACAGCTGTTAGGTCTAATAACTAAATAAGCCAATCAACTTCTTTAGATATAGTTGTGCAGCTCTTTGTCAATCATTAAGACATGTAACAAAACTCTTATTACAGTGTTCCAGATAAGTGAGGGGTCTCAGCTATCAGCTACATGACCTGACAAATTAAAATTACAGAAAATTTGTAATGATGTGGTGAGAACAATGGGAATTGACCTGCTGGAATTCCTTATTGACACCCTGCTTTGAAAACTTATCTGGAACCTTGCTCGCCACTACGCTAGGAGAATATCAACTCTTTCCCTTTAATAGCAGCAGCAGCAAAAGGCTTTTCATGTTACTTTTAAACAAGGGCAACATAATAGAAGCTAACAGAAAGGTGTCCCTTCTAGTGGGGTCTGATGGCATCTACACTATGTTGGAAGAGCAGCAATGGTTGACTCATTTACACTCAAAATGGAATGGAAAAGATTTGATTTAAAACTTACCGCCTTCATGGTCTGATCACACTGGTAAACTAGCTGACGTAATTCCACGAGGATGTTGGATTTCGTAGTTTCCAATTCTCTCTGCCTGGCATTTGCTTCCATCACCGACATCTTGTACAACTCCTCAGCCTCGTCAGCCTTTCTGAGATCACCTTCTTTCTTCTTGCTTCCACCTTCCTAATAATGCAATAATGCGAACGCATAGAGCGGATCTCACTTGAGTGTCGAAAAGTCATTGGTTTTGCGTTACTAGACCTTACTACGCTACACCATTGGCTTAAAAACCTCGCGCCACTTTTTCATCGAATCAGAAGTAAAATCAAAACCAATCGCAACTCGCTCGCACACGTTTTCCCGCGCTTTGCGTCAGCCACGTGTATTTACTTCGAGTTTTGATTGGTCCATTTGATTGTCTTTGTCTTTTTTGATTTGCTAGAGTGATTACTCTCGGTTTGGTTTTTTGACATTCAATTGAAAGAAAGAGGAACATTGACCTGAATTAGTGCGCCTGTTAATTTTATAATTTTTTCCAGCTCTGCTTAACTTGATTTAAATTTTAACTGGAATATATAAACAAAAAGGTAACCAGAATGCAGAGTTGAGATTGCAAGACCTCCAAGACCAACTGATTAGTCCCACATCCTGGTCATTGGACTGTATTAAGGACAAAACAAAGACAAACAAACCAACCCAAGAAAACAGTTAATTACAAACCTTCTCCAGTTCCTGCTGTTTTTGGATATACATAGCTTTTGCCTTCTTAAGGTTGGCCATCGCTTCATTCTTTCAATAGAGGAAATAAGAATCAGTTACGCCAGTACGCTTAGCACAAATCCATGAAAACAAAAACATGATTTGTTGTCTAATCACTGTGCAGTAAAACGAAAACAAAATAATTTCCAACTCAGTACTAGTAAGAAAACACCAGTCGTGTAGGAGGGGGCATGTCTAGTTTATTGATCAGACATCAACAGCCCTAGCATAGTTTATCACAACAAACATAAACGGCCTTAGGATAGATATTATTACAACAAATGTACTAAACAAAAACACGGAAATTTTACTAACACAATTTCCAGAACGAAGGGATCAAAAACGGCGATGCCGTCGAGTGACAACTCCCAACGGACAAACTCCTTAAATATTCACTTATTAGCATGATTACGTAACCTGCATACCAAAGATTCTACATGCCGACACACAACTACCTTAGAATAACAACATGAAAAATTATATTTGGTGAGAGCATCTTACCACTTTCTTGAGGGCCTTAGCCCATGCTTCCTTGAGATCCTTTCTTATTTTCTCATGCTGGTTTCTTCTTAACGTTAAAGGCTACAAGAGAACAGAAAAGAAAAATAGAATTGTGTCATATCTCTAGTCTGCCATCCTGTACTTACACATCAGGCCCGCGTTGTTCGAAAGGTGGATAACGCTATCCACCGGATAAATCACTATCCAGTGGATAGCGTGGTTTGTTTTGTTACCACATACCCGCTGGATAGTGATTTATTCGGTGGATAGCCTTATCCAGCCTTTGAACAACTGGGGGCAGTGGTCCATCTAGTTTGATTTCCCACGCGAGGTGAGTCCTAAAAAGGAACTGTTGTTGTTGTTGACTGACATTTCAACAATATGATCATGGCTCTTTCAAGAATCAAGTGGAAAGTGTACAATATTGATGAACAAACACTTCACACTTGATGCTGATGATGACTTCTGCTCAGTTTGCCAAAACATACCTTCACCAGGAGCCTAGGTAAGGTACATGTAAATCCCAAAATGGACTGTTATTGGTGACAAACACTTTTCACTTTAAGGAGCTACGTCACGGTCTGCGCATCTTAAAAAGTTTAGCCTAAATTTATTGTTTAAGTTTGTCATTTGCAATCCGTGTTAATCTTCTCCATCCTTGTTCCTTTGGGTTTAATTACTACCTTTTTGGTGCTTTTCTATCTTAGTAAACTTTTATCTTCAGGTTTCCTTCAATTTAAACGTAATTTTGTACGTGGCCAAAGTAACTTCTACTCAGGATTTCAAAATATCAGTCACCAACAAGAGTTCTCCTCCAAAGCACCTCCACCCAGAGGATTACGCGACGAAGGATCCTACGAAAACTACCACCAAGGGAAAAGATATCCATGCATTACAAAAATGTTAAATTTGCTAAAAAGCCAAAGTTACAGACCTCCATAAACCTGCTTGACATGAGGTTTGCATAGGTTTTGTTGGCATTATCAGCATAATCAATATCCTGCAGAAAGAGAGATACAAGATGGCTGATGAGTAAAGTTTTGTTTTAGTATTGTCATCTTATATCATTATTATCGCATGCAAAAACTCACGCAGTATTCTGCTAGTTTCCATGTTTACTGTTACTTACGAGAAACTTAATTTCCAACTGAAGTGAATAAAATTTCAAATGTATTTTACCTGATCAAGGGCTGTTACAAAAATAGACTGAAATGGCAGGTAGTTCTGAAAAAGACAAGCAAGATTACAAATCTGTATAAATTCATCAGAAAAGAAATTTGTGTAGAGTAGTACAGAGCTTCAATGTTACCCAAGGCCACTGATGGCATACCTTTTCCAAGTAATGACCAGCATACAGTGCCAGTGAACCACTTTGCATGTATGAAATATATAACTTTTTTTCTAGAACCTCTTTACCGTAAACCCTTTGAAGCAGGGGATTCATCAACGTCTACAACAGGAGGGCATATAGTTTTCACAGCCAGACAAAACGTTTTGAACTGAACTTCTTTATAAGAAGAACGTTCCTCTAGATGGTCAAACCAGGCGGGCAAAATCATCCTCACGGCCGGTCAATTTGCCTGGGCCTGAGAAAGGAGGGAGGAGAGAGAAGGGGAATACTGGCCTGTGCAATGTCCTTACACTAGAGTCTGATGGATTATACTGGCATAATTTCAAGCATAAAGTCTCATCTACACGAGCAATTTTTATGTCACAAATATGTTTGATTGTGTACACGGCACAGCAAATATTCTTCAGCAGTTCAAAGTTTAGTGCGCCAGTAATGACTTTGGACAGCACAGATACACAGAAACAAGGCGAGGCTGCGTAGTTGCCCCCAAAAACGTGGCACTTACAAACATATTTGCCACATTTTAGGCGATGAGTCATCTACACAAGCAATTTTTCGTATGTGACAACTTTCATTTGTCACATGAAAGCTAACATGCCAGCCTTTCAGCAAATGTATTTGTCACACAAAAATTGGCCAATTTTCCTCATCTACACGAACAAAGAAAAATTGTCGCAAAAATTGTCACATAAAAACTGCTCATGTAGACAAGGCTTAATACTGGTATCTAGATCATCGGGCATAATGCTAGCTTAACACTCAATTTTTTTAGCATAATCCGGTGCTGTATTGCTGTTTTGAAAACTTGTTTACTAATTGTTCCAGCCAACACAAGCTAGATATGTAAAATAAAGATGATAATAGTGCAAGCATTTTAGGTACAGATTTGGAACTGTAAGACAGCCCTTAGGGATTTGTGCCCAGTGAACTCTGGCATACATTGTAGTTGAAGACCTGGTTGCCAGTAACAATACCAATAATAGAAAAGACTGTGTAGGAATGTATGTATAATACATGTAGGTAGAGGGGAAAAAATTCCATTTTTGTCCAGCAAAATTAGGAGCGTATTACTTCCAGCCAAGAATAATTTTGAGCATAATATCTTGGTTTCATGGGTGATGGCAAAAAGAATAATACTCAATTTTACAAGCATGATCCATCAGACCTTACTAAGCACTTAGCTTTGACAGTTGCTAACAAATTAGTAATATACAGTGATAGTACAATGGTGCAGTATTTGCCAATTTAAACAAGTATGAACTTTAGAAAGGATTGAGACAAATATGGGTTATTGACCGAGCATGAGGTCAAGGTGACTGGCTATTGGCCAAGTTCTTTTAATGCATGTTTATGTTAAACCGAGATGCAGACAAGGTCAATAAACTAACAAAAAAAGAACGATAGCCAGCCATCTTGACTGAACAAGCTTGGTCAATCAAGAATTTATTATATAGCTTTGGGGAAAATTTTTCTGGCAGGACAAAGTGGGTAGTCCCAAGAAGGCAACATATCGCCATCTTGCTCGGTCAGGTAGCAAATCACAGCTCAGGATTTGGTTTATCTTGCACGCTCATACAGCTAGCCATATAGTGAGAACAAATCTCACCTCTTCAGTGATCGCTGCTCTTGTTGTTTGAGCTAGTTTTGCAAGTTTGGCTGTGTATTCCAACTCTGTAAAACAAGCATTAAATGGCATTAGTTCAAATGGACTAAACACACTGCCTTACTGGTAACTCTCACTTTGCTCTGTGGTTTAAGAAACGATCCACACTCAAGCCATGGATGGTCCTTAGAAAATTGCCTTATCAAGCAACTTAAATTGCTTAACCTCACCTAAATGTGCTCTTTTGTCCACATAAGTTTCTATGTCTTTGGAGTATTTGGCCCAAATCTTAGTTCTCTGTTGAAATAAAAATAAATATTCATGGCATTAGATCTAAGGATAAAGAAAAATTGAATACAATGCAAATACTGGCTTTTTACTGTGAGAAGATCAACTGTACATAACTCACAGGCATAACTTACAATAAACTTACATGTACCAGTGGTACATGTAGATGACTGCAACAGCCCTACTGTCCAAGCAATGGTCAAGAAACTCCCTATTCAATGGAAGAAAATTTCTGTGTGTATACCTTGCTTTTTCCAAGGTATGATCACAGTCTGGCGCCCCGTGCAAAATTTGCTCAACAATAGAAATACTATGTCGCTTGATGAGCTCTCAATAACCCAACTAAATTCTCATCAGGTTTTATAAAACACATCTTCTCTGTGTGCTAATTTGAAAGTCAATAAATAACAGTATTTTACTTCCTAACCTGCATAGCAATGTCCACACCATGTTCAAGTTGTATTAACGCTCTGTCCAGCTCATCTGCCTTTTCTGCAGAAGTGTCCACTAAAATCAGGACACAAAAATAAGTAAACAGTTACAATAAGACTGTTCTTACAAACTGAAGAGATGCCTATGATCTGATTTGACTTTCAGGGTTTGCCTTTAATACAGGTAGAAAATATAACCAAGAACTACCATGTTTGAATAAAGTTGACTTCACCTTGTTGCGTCACATCACTTCTCTTTGCTTTGCAGGACAGGGGACTTACAATTGTACAAAAATAAATCACTCTTTAGGAGATAATCACACATGTTGTATAAGCACATAGAATTAAATTTGGTGCTTTCACCCTGAACTGGATTTTTGTACCTACAAACGAGGCTGTGACAAAAAACTGCATTAAGCCAATTATCCAATAGGTACTTTAGCTTATTTACAGTTTCTGTAGCATGAAGAAACTAAGAGTATTTCTACTACAATACTGGGTGGGAAGCCTGCTCTCATAGGGTTACCCTCCAGGATTAAATTCTCTAGTACCCATTAATACTCTTGCATGTGAGAGTAAAGTCTCTTGCTCAAAACCACAGTGTTGTGACCCAGGGCCTGAACCTGGATGACTCAAATAATCCAGTCCAGTCCTGTAATAATAACTCTAGACATCACACCTTCCAACCTAAGCAGAGGTTTCGTTACCATTTACAGCAGGATGGCAACTGGTTTTCACAGGCAAGCAGAACTTTTTTAGCTGAACTTCTTTATAGCAAAAACTTTTGAATAGATGATCAAAACAGGTAGGCGAAACTGTCCTCACAGCCGGTCAATATGCCCGGTGCCCAGTCCTTAGCGAAACCACTACCTAAGCTGTGGAAGGAAGGGTATTTTGGTTTCAAGCTAGTATACCTGATTCCTTCTTTTCTTTTCTCTCATCTTTGTCTTCAAGAAAATCCTGGTCGTCCTCATTGTCTTCCTCGTAACCTCTATCATCAACATCTTCATCATCCTCATCCCCAAAGTCTTCCAGCGACTGCCGCAGCAAACAAAACAAACGGTCAGTCAAGAAGACAAAAAGAAACCATCTAGAATTTTGCAGGTAACTTCAAAACTGTTTAACACAACAACAACTCTATAAAATTGGCAGCTACCCAGTTTCCAGTAAGTGTTTAAAATTGAGGATTTAAAATAATTCCAAGCCACTTCCAGTGGCAGTTTGATCACTCAATATGTGGACACCAGACAAAAATGTTGCGATATATTACAAAGTATAGGTTAAAATAGAATAAACTAATGAGTAGTTTTATTGGAGTACTTTTCTTAATAACTTCTCTTAATCATAATTTTATAGACTTTGGGTGACGTTTTAATTCTGAAGTGGAAAACAAGTATAGAAAAGAACAAGTATAAGATCCATCAACAATGTGGATGCCAATTTCATAACACATGTTACAATAACATAAATATTACTGATAAATATTGCATTATTACAGTAAGATAAAAGTTGTCTTGAATTCAATGTGACACTATTTTTGAATAAAAATTATCTAAGAGAAACTTTTCACCTGAAAGAAAATAACCTAATATCTAAGGTTGTTATATACGAACGAGCGTTACGGATATGAATATTGCATTACTTAACAATTCTTGGTTTATCTCCCATAAATAATCAGTAACTTATGCCTACAGTCTGGGTTTGAACACAATTACACATCAAAATCGTTTGACCTGTTTTCCCCTCATCCAGAGCCAAGAATTACCACATAACTTTTCCATTTAGTTTTCCCTTTTCTAATAAGCATTGCTGTTCATTTTCCATTAGTTTCAGCCTTTATGTAGCATCACAAATTGCTGTAATTTTCAGTTTGTATCACATGCTTTTAAGGATTAAAAATCAAACAAATGTCATGAGCAAAAGTTCTGCACGTCCTAGTTGATCACTGCAAACTCCAGTACATACTTCTGTGTCAGGAATGTTACAATGTTTGGAAGAAAAATAACTAATTACAGTCTAAGCGTGATATACTTGTGCTATTACCACAAGAGGATATCTTGATAATATAACAAAATGAAATAACTGTCTGAAATGTCAACAAGTTATTGCACGCCAAAATAAACAAACTAATTGAGGATTTTATGTAGGTCCCCATGTTAACAAAGTTATCACAGCCACTTGATATGTGCTAATGTACTTTGTTTATATGCCCTTCAAGACTGGTTAATTTCCATTGTTATTTTGTTTCATGATAAGGGAATGCCCTCCATAGTCATAACTCAACCTTTATGAAACAAACTTTGTATCGTCCTTCTAATCTTAAACATTTTGTACCTTGTACCCACTCTATAATCAATCTGTTCGAGAAAAAAATACATGTAGCAACAGAACATGTGTAGAAGCATGCACTGAAATTGTACTGCACTGTCTGTTGACAGGATATTGAGATTGCAGACTCAGTTTGACATTGAATGACAAGCTCCAATTACAAAACTGAAAGACTCCTTTCTTAGCACTACAAGCCATATATTAGCTACATATTCATAAGAGCTAACAAACATATGAACACCCTGTACACAGGACCAGGGGCAAAAACATATGCTAGGGGTTTAAAAAAATGCGAAATGAAAGCAAGTGTACTGCACTGACTAGGTTATGTTCAATTTGGTGATTACCTGAAGTCCCGCAAACAAAATTGCATTTGCCATTCTGAAGGAATCTTTGAACGGTTCCGCAATAAAAGGGTACTTATCCATCTCTGTCTCTGTACTCATTTAGCGACAAAACATCAAATGCAAGTTATTTTAACTTATATTTTTTAGGATGGCAAAACAGCGCTATTATATTTTTTAGGATGGCGAAACAGCACTCTAGCATTAAGGCGTATTGAGTAATATAAACCTTACTTTCAAGAGAAAGGTCAAGAGGTAGAGATCAAACAAATCCAAAGATTCCACAAATATTTTTACAAACCTGCTNTAAAGAAAGAAAGCTGTTGTTAATAGTGTTATTATCATGTGGTTCATATCGTTCATGACCATACATATCCCGAAGAAAGTTCTAGATTAGGACCATTACGTCATTGGAGATTTGTCAACGGCTACCACTGATGGTGCAATAACACAGTTTGTGTTGATCAAGTGATGTGATGTCTACAGTAAGAAAAGAAATTGAAATGTGCACTACATTCCGACGGTAGTGCTAAGCAAAGAGTTTAATTTGAAAAGCACGGTTATAAGATCTAAAAGATCTTCTTGTTATATTTTTGTTATCTGTATTTTTGTCAGATTTATGTTGCATCAGGGCTGTATTTAAACTAACTATGCTAAATTGGATGCCCCTAAATAAATATTAATTCAAATATTAAATAATAACAGAAACAAGACATAAAATAAATTAAATGATTAACTAATTATTATAAATAATTTGTGCTTCTCAAATATAAGACAAATAAATAAATAAATAAATAGGGAAGGAGGAGGTAGCTCGACCCAGGTAAACGAAAGGAAATGATAGATGTTGCATTATAATAGTGAGAGTTTTCACTGTAGCTACTGTGGCATGGACCAAAGCTAAAAAAGTTTTTATTTCACCCTAAAAAACATACACCAGGGATGTAGTACACATAATCATAGCTACTGTAAGGGCTGGCTATTCGGTAATCTCACCAGGTGAGCTCAATGAGAGCTTATCACCATCAGAAATTTCACTGGAGACAAAGACTTGGGTTAATAAACAAGGTGCACAGGCAAGAAAACCTGGCCGAGCTTTTTGATAAGCCTGCTTAGTCTTTTTTTTTTTGTTAGCCAAGTCCATGGACATAAATTTGTACAATGTAATTACCATAATCCCAGACAATCTACAGGTAATAGAGAAGATAAAACTATGACCTCAGAAGATTAGCATCTTACAGTCTAAAATTTTGTGTTATAAAAATTATCACACAGAAAACATGATTACGCAAACATAACCTAGACTAAACAATCCACATCCACAGAACAAAATACCATCTACCTCAACTGCTGAGGGTGGCAAAGGACTTATGCTTGACACATGGTAAGGGCAAAACGCAGTGCATGAGCCATGAAAGGCAACTTAATGACATGTAATTTGCCAATTTATGTTTAAAGACCACTGTTAAAAGCAGCTAAATATGGCACACGAATTTTAATAAAATTTTGCGTAAAACTGGATCCCAACCTCCCTTGCTAACCTCAACTGCAATGTGACTTAATGCACTGACATTATGTTCACAACTAGAAAGAGATGTTAAAAGGGATAAGTCCACATTGAAAGCAATTTCTAAGCTTTTGACAATTCAAAGGTGAGGACCAAAAAATTAGATTAGATTCATGTAGCCCCAGAATCAAATTAGGGCTTATACAACATGTAGATCTTAATGTACAGCCAGTCAGTAAGGAGAACTAGCATCTTGAGATTGGTGCAAGTCAACATCAAAATTCTCCTTACATATTTTGTGCATGTTGGGAGAATTCAGTCTAAAGCAAACCTTTTTGACAAAGAAACCACCTACAGGTACATTGTTTAATTTTGGTCCCATTTGCTTACAAGGCAGTGGACCTTTTAACTGGTGTTATGCTTTTCCATTTTTTTACCCATTCAAACAAAAAATAACCCTCACCACTCGATTTTCACCATGCCTAATTCAGTAAATATATATATCCGAAGTTTCGTGAGAATCTGCTACAAACTCTTGAAAATATGGGACCCCAAAACGTGCCAATTATTACAAACACACACAACCCTTAAAATGCCAACAACAAAATGATGCTTTCCAAACGAAAGATCAACAGCAATCTTTCTGTTGTGTCAAGATCTTTCTTGCATTAAAAGCCCAACCAAAACTAGCAGTTAATATTACAATCAGTGCTAAGTAAGGCACAATTGACTTAGTAGAAAACATTCCTATACCCAATGTATCACCAGTCTTGCACTCCACAGGCAGTGACTGAAAACTGATTTTTGCTAATAAATTTCCTATCAGAGCTGAGTACATTGTTACACAGAGGAGGACAGACGAAAAGGAGCCTGGCTTTTTGGCAATATACCATAAAGAAACATTCCTGGTGATGTTAGTTGCCTTGAACTTTGCATTAAATAAAATTTCAGGTGAAAATAATAGATCACCAAAATGAGCATCTTAGCAATTTCAAAAGCTCAGCTCAGTTCTTTTATACAGCATAGACAAGGAAAAGCAACATGCAACTATAATAACATATGGCCTTCTTACCCGTGAATATTGTTTACTCATCGTTGACTCTGACAAAACCATATCCTGGTCACCCATAAGGAAATCAGAAACACTGTGAAAAGTAAAAGAAACACTTGGTGATACACGTACATACTATACTGTTTTATATTCAATCATACCACCACACTGAGAATAATTATCAGATTTGTAAATACAGTTGTACATAGTATTTTCCAGTGACAAGGGAATTAAAGTATTACATTTATGTGAAGAAAATGTTTTGCTCTATTTTTGAAATTTATTTCATTTCATGGCACAAGCTTTTCTTCAGTTGTGTTGCATTGATCTCAAGCCTAAATTTGGAATACAAGGGCAGTGAAACTGACATAACATCCATTTAGGCTTGACATCGACACAACAAAACTGAATATAGACTATGCCATAAAATAAATAAATTTCAAAACTAGAGCATAATATTTTCTTCACATAAATGGCAATCTCTAATACCCTTGAACTGGAAAATACTACAGCAGTAGACGTCTAACAAAGAAAAAGGTCATGGAAACTTAATCAGTAGGTAAGCACCTGAACAACTGCAAAGAGTTCTCTGAAACTTCCTCAATTCTGCCTAGAACTCCATGGAAACTCAAATACATAGATCAATTAAATATCAACGATATATGTATTATGTTTTCTGAGTCTTCAGTGAGGTAAAATACATAGTTTTCAGCCAATCAGCACAATCATGTTCAATAGGGACATGACAAAAAAATGATGGTACAAACAGGAAGTATTATTTTCTTAGCAACAGTCGAGTTGATTTCAGGTGGTATGTTACATTTACTCTCAAAAAGGTGTAATGAATATTCAATGAATGGATCACTGAGTAAACAGTCATAATTTATAACTGCAACGTGTATTGCATTTTTATATAGCAAAACTTGCAATTACAGTGTATATTTTTGATATGTACACAAATTGTGTCACTTAACACAAAAATATAAAAGTCCCTTTTCGTAAATGGCTGCCAATTTTAAATTCTTTTGTGTGTATTTAGATAAGTCTCACTAACCTTGTTTACAGGTAAAAATTATTGTGAATTATCAACTTAAAGACAAGGTTAGTGAGGCTAATTTTAATACTTAAAAAATAATTTATACTTGACAGTCATTTATAGAAAGGGTTTACATTTCCAGAGGCTCTTACATGTAGTATAAAATGTAGACAGTAATAATTAGAACCCAGCATGGACAAATTCATTAAATTTGTTGGTGGGTGACACTACCAATCTTGTTCCAGGCTCTCTCCTCTCTGCCTCCCTTGTCATTGAGAGAAAGACCCTGGTTGCGACTGGTCACGTGACCACCTGTGACACAAACTTTTCCACCCGGGTAGGGTAGAGTCAACGAAGAATTTTTGTCAATCTCAACTGAAGCGGACGAAAGGCGATCACCGGTAATTGCTATATTAAACCACACACAGGCAAAATACAACCTTGAAATTCTGCAGTCCTATTCTAAGCTTCACACAGGTCAAACAAAATATATCTGTATATATCTAGTGTATTGACGTAACACTCTGATTTCAATTCCAGCTGGTTGATTTACTAAGAAGTAAAAATGTTTCACTGTTTCATGTTGCCTGAAGTAACCTCATGGAACATTGTTCACTATATAAAACAATGTTTTATTTACCATTTTGAAAAATATAATTCTTGACTTTGCCAAGGAACCGTGTTTAAACATCTGTCTAAATATAAACTTAAATAAACCAGTGATAAACCTGATGCAGACAAAATATAAGCGCAGGTTTATGTCAACAAAGCATGCATTGCTGTAAATCAAATGCAAGTCAGAATTCTATGCTAATCGGCCATGTGACAGAAATACTTTCAACATCCAAAATACTGCACAAAGAAGAAAATAAATTACCTCCAAATTCAAAGATTCAAACACTAAACTACTTGTTTCACTTTGATTTGGTACGTGACATTTAACATGTGCCAACTGTCGAAAAGTTTGTGCTCCATTCGGCTTCCAAATTTCTTTGTGAATGAAAGTCTGCTATATATTTTCAGCAAAAGTCGACTTTGAACCCTGATAAAGGAGGTAGTTTTTAACTACTGCCAGAGGAGTTGAAACCCACCCAAATTGACACAAAGTTTATCACAGCAACAATTAAAGCACTCTACCACCCCTCCCAACCAACAGATTTTTTTATCACCCAGATTCTGGGTGGTCACGTGACCAGCTGCAACCAGGGTCTTTCTCTCAACGACAAAGGAAGCAGAGGAGAGAGAGTCTGGGAAGGGTTGGGGTACTGCCATATATGTAATTATATGGGTATGTGACTCTGTGAAGGGTATAGTTTTCAGGCAGTTTAGTCTGGGATGGGGTATAGAAATCAGTTTCGGTCCACAATAGGATATAATTTACCGGAAAAGTGACCAGTGTATAAATAAGTTAGTCTAGAACATGGCTCCTCACCCCTGGTTCATAATAGAAATCAAAACTTGAAAGTAACTTTGTTAGACATTGGTTTAGTTCACATATGTTGTACTACTAACAGTGTATGATAGTGATAAAGTTCCTGCATGGAAACTACATGTAGCTAGTCTGAGATGGGGTACAGGTTTTTGTTGCCTAGTCTAGAATAGGGTTGCAAAATCAACCTGATCATGGTTTAGTATAAAGGAAGGGTTTCAGTGTCCAAGCAGCACACCCCTACCCAATGATTTACAGAGTACCCACCCTGGGTTTCTCACTGATGAAAGGGGACACCTAACTGGAGAAGCACAATGCACAAAAAATGGGAAGGT